AACCCAGCCTTTTTATGTTATCTACGATTTAGTGGTTCGGACACCGGATAAATTAATTAGTCTCACAAAATTAAGGTAAACTCTAATAAATTGAGTTACTACCGCTGACACCAAGTTTAGGATTTTGCTTGAACTTCTAATATATTTTTTTTACAACCTATATTTGAATATTCAGCGTCTAGTTTAAAACGTGATATAATAATATGTCCGATTAGGCAAACTTACTAATCTGAACTTGTTCCAAATTTTCACACATTCTCAATTAAATATAACATCATCATCATCATGATGTTATAACATAGCGCTAAGAAAATAATATTTAGTTGTTAGTCTTGATTCTCACGATTAAATTAATCTATCCGATAGTATACGTAAGCATGATCAAATTATTTATATCCCAGTTTGTTACTACTGTTGACATCGGAACCTATTTGTTGTAATAAAAGTAAAAAAAAAAACAAAACAAAAAAATAACGCAGATCATTGAAAATCCATTTCTACACTTCTACGAAGAGTTCATTAAACCCATCAGTATAATTAGTCGAATAGAAGTATTAGATCAAAAACATAACGTATATATGGGTAAGTTCTTTATTACAAAAAAATGTAACAAAACAGATTTTATAGGCACGGTATTCTCGTGAATGGTTTAATGTAAATACACATAATAATGTAGACATGAATAAATAATTAATTTACTTAGCAATGCCGTAGTAAATAATGAATGACCTTGTTGTACACAAAATATTACTAGTACGCTTAGATATTATCTATACAAATAAATAAAATTGGAGTGTCTGTTTGTAATGTCAAAATTATGGGTTTTTTTCATGCTCACACGGTTTTTTCAAGATACCTTTTTTTTTTGTTGAAGGGGTGGAAAATCCCTTCGGATCTCCTGCTCCTCGGGGACTCAGGAGCCAGGAGTATGTGGTGATTCCACTAAAAACCACCCCGACGGCCGGCCTTAGGTGTCCTACTCTAGGGAGGACCCGGACCATGTTATTTCAGGTCCTCCCCGAATTGACACCATGCCTAATTAGGCCTTATCCCAGGGGAGAACACTTCCCCCTTCAATCACGGCATGGCGGCCCAATCGCATCTTAATGCAATCAGGCCAGCCATTCCATCCCCTAGCGCAGCAATCAATCTACCACCAGAGGTCCCCACTCTCTGGCGGCCCGCGGCCCCGTCGACGGCTGATATCGGCGCCGACGTCCTCTGCGCTCGGGATCGGCCCTCTCCCGATCCCGTTCAGCTGTCTCTTTCTGGAGCATTACAGCTTCACAGAAAGAGACCACTGCGCCCCAACCCTTCTCACCCGCCAGCATGGCAGCGATGATTGCTGGCGGGGACAGGTCTCGTCCGATTTGGTCGACCAGGACCTCGCGTTCAGACGCCCACGCGGGGCAGTCTTGCAGCGTATGCTGGACGGAGTCCCAGTCGGCTGCCAGTGCTGGCATTGTGCCGTCTCCTCGCGTCCAATGCGATTCAGGTACTCCCCGAAGCAACGATGCCCAGTGAGTACCTGCGTCAGTCGGTAGGTGACGCGACCTCCCCTACCTACCCAAGCTTCAAGGTTAGGCAAAACGGCACCGACAGCGCGTTGGCGCGCATTTTGTGGCTGCTCTAGTCGCGCGCGCCACTGCACTAGTGCCTGTCGGTGGGCGTTCCGCCTCATTTCGAGCTCATCCTGGTCTTCCCCACCCTCACCCCGGCGGATCGCGCAAGTCTGGTCATAGACCCTCGATATCAAAAGGCGGGAAACGTGCCAGGACTGTCGCCGCCTATTTGCAAGATACCTATGCCTAAGAACCAGTTTATTTTATTTTATCTGTCCGGTCTGTCTGTTTGTTTCGGGTTAATCTACTAAACGGCTGGACCGATTTCGATAATATTTTACTACCAGGTAGCTGTCTACATAAGGAATAACATAGCCTTTTTTCCTCTCAGAAAAACCCTTTAAAATTTTGACAGGTCCTTGCATCGAACCCACCATGACAGCGCTTTTCAAATTCCATGCGAACGAAGTCGCCGGTACCAGCTACTAATTTATAAATTAATCATTGGGACTACGTAGTTTAATTCACTAAGCTGAAGAATTAACTCCGCTCAGAAAGAAGGCAACATTACTTGCGAATGTCTATAATCACCATTACGTGCTTACCAGTAGGCGGACTGTGTGCTTTGCTCTGCCAACTTTATTGTGCAAGAACACAGATAAAACATAACATATTTTATAAATTCTCAAGTCTAAACTCTTTGAACACTTAGAGTATTTAACTTACTGCAGTTTCTAGACCAAAACAGCAAAAGGAACACAAATAACAAAGTACATAAAAGCATTATTAGCAGTGTCAATCATATTCTCTGCATATATTTATAATAATTGTGATACAATCGTGAACATGATTCATGTCGTGTACTTAATGTAACAAAGGTACGTTGACCTTTTGATTTTTTTAGTCTTAATGATAATAAACCAGTTACTCTGGTAAAGTGTAACTACTTGTGTAGATGAATCACGCTAGCGCTGATTACAACTAACTGATAAATAAGCGGTTCTTATACGATAGACAATACAATAGTTTACTGATAGTTCTTATTGTACTGCTACTTCCTTATTCATTCCAATAAACGCTTGATGAACCTGATATCGTAAACACATTTAAAAGCTAGTACGTTATGTGTTTGTATTTACGTGAATATGGTCGGGTGCAATGTGGGACAAATTGACTCAATAAAACAAAGGGTCTGTTATGCTCTTTCTAGTATTTTATATAAGGTGGAGCACGTGTCGTTCAATTATATCCTTTGCATCCCGAGAAAATGGTAATCTGGTAATACACTGTTATATTAACAGTTTCCTGCTAAAAGTAAATTGCATGCCACTCTAGCTAGTTCAATAGTCATTCCATTCATAACACCAAAGACCAAGTTTCGACTGTAAACCTTGTCAAATATCTACAACCTGAAGAGAAATACACACATACAGATATATAAATAGACCTAATTACCATGATCTCATTAAAACGCTTTTCTTATTGAAATACAACCGAATTGACAACATTTACGAAAAAAATCCTTTTCTAAAACCAGTTAAAAATCAGTTTCGTGGGAAAAAGCGGTACTTTTTCTTCTCTGCTCAAGCGCTAATACAGTATGCATATGTGTTATATTTCGCTGTTTTAAATATTATTATGCAAGTAAAACCTTGATGCGCTCCATTGAATACGATGCCAACCGCGAAGTTTTATTGAGCTTGCTTATCTGGTTCCTAGATATGTACTAGTACTAATAGCTAACAATTTAATACAAGCATACCAGTCAGTATGTAGTTTTAAACGCATAACAAGTTTAAATTGTGTTAACATCAATCCAAACAAAGAATATCGAATATTGTAAAACTAAACCTTTACAAGAGATAAATTACCAAAGTTAATTCTTATGCTCATCAATAATGTAAACTGAATTCAACATAGTGAGATTCGAATGAGCAATAGCGCCGATGCAACGTTGGTAGTGATGCTTGGAGATTCAGAGCATTAGAAGTCAAACGTTTAAAATGTTAGGTTTTGCAACCTGGTGTAATCTATATATATATAAGAGATTTCCACGTATATAGTCACTCATCACGATATCTCTGGAACCATTACAGCTAAAGACTTGAAATTTGGTAGGAACATTCTTTTCACCGAGTAGAGGTCAGCTAAGAAGGGATTTTAAGAAATTAAAAAAAATAATAATTAAATAATGTAAATAGCAAAACAACGTTTGCAGGGTCAGCTAGTTAGGCATAATCTCATTAAATTTCTTGAATGTAAAAGACGAACTTATCAGTAATTTTGAATATTTATATCATTGTACGCACAGTTCAAACTACGCTTTCAGTGTTTCCCATATTATTAACGTACGTCAGAACGGTGTATTGTTATATGTTTTATATTAGTTGTCGATTGTTATTGGTTTTGTTTTCTCATCGCTAAAATGGCAACACAAAGTTCTTATTCAAATTTTTCCTTCCATTTATCCGTTCCGGTACCTTCCTTATTTCACAATGTAATCAAATTTTTGAACGGTATATGAATGCCGGTGTCGCAGCATGTCGCAACTAGTACTCTAATTGGAAGCTTGGGATTGTATTCCAATTTAGACGTCGGATATATTTAAGGAGACTGGGTGTTGAAGTCTGCATTCGGACTGAAATAATCAAATAACCTATTTATAGCCCATTGCAGTGTATAGGCCTTTTTATTTGCGCCGAAACACCTAGTCCTCCGGGTTCAGCTTCCAGACCATACCAGCTACCTTTTTTATATCAATCCAGCTCGGGGCGTCGTAGCTTATTTATTCCGATTTGTGGTATCCACTATATAATATAATAATAATATAATATATTCAGACTGAAATTTGAAATATTGGCTATTAAGTTTAAGATTGTCAACAATTGGGGTTGCCCATTATTGCTCTTGTGACCCTCCGGAAAGTCTTTAAAATTGACGTCACCTCGCCTTGGCGACAATGCTAAATCATTTGTACCTGTAAAATAAACTTATATTTTTAAATCTTGAAGTTACAAAATTATAGCTTAAGTTATTGGGGTATGGATATGTGATATACATATTTTATAAAGGCTGGATCTATAATAATATAATGTCATATACGCTTGAATATCAAAGCTTATAGGCGTAATATAGTTTAATATCTCAATATAAATACTGTCTATTCATTAAAATCATACATATAATTGTATTTTTCTATGCTTTTAGAAAAATACAATTATATATATGATTTACGCCGTCTTTGATTAGGACTAGATTCCTGAGGCTTACAATTGTTTTGAAGTACAGTTAAAACGAGATCGCAGGGTAGTTATTCGCCCAGATATATTTAATTGCAGTCCTGTTTTTCTCACCGCAAAAAGCTAGTAAATCGTAAGTCAAATTCAAGCAAGACGTTTATACTTAAGCTTATTAATATGTGTGTATTTATTTTGACAGGTCTGGCGCTGTTAATTGCCGGTGGAGTGCAGTATTCAAACGCGCCGCCAACACCGACCCCCGACGGCGCTGATAACGGCATCGGCACACTTATCGCAGGAGGGGTCATCCTTTTCCTTGGATTACTGTTTGCTGGTATGTACTAACACATAAACATTAAGCATGTCATAGCATTATATATATTTTAGCATGGGCGAGCCATGCTTCGGTACAAATGGGTCGGCTCGACCGAAATGATACCATGGCTTCACAGAAAACCGGTGTTAGGCAATTCTTTCGTTGCTTGTTACCGAAGGAGCGAAGTTACTGGAGCCCTAATCCCCCTTCTCCCCCTTCTCCCTGATTCTGGGCAGGGGCTAAAATAGCTAAAACTAAAATTTTCAGGTATCTAAATCAAGGGTTCCCAGACTATTTTGGGCAAGAGCCCCTTTTCTAAAATAAAGTGATACCTCGTACCCCCACAGGCAAATTACAGCACGCTTAGCGACTTGTTAAGTTTTTTAAAAGTACAACAATAATACTCTACTAAAATATTAGTCATTCTTATAACAAGTTGGTACACGTAATACAACTAATACAGTATCTTGAAAGTTTTAAATAAGAACTTGTTAATGTCGTGTGTGTGGGAGTCGATTTTTATATCTTACTGACCCCGAAATCAGTTTTCGTTTATGTAGACCCCTGAGAAACCGATTTCGACCTCAAGAGGTCTATATCAACCACTCAGGGAATCCCTGATCTAAATTATAATACATATAAGTGTTGTAGCATTATAAATTTTTCTTTACTAATCAGTCATTGTTAAATACTGTCAACACGTTTTGCATAGTGTATGAGGAAATTTTTACATTATATTCTATTTATAGGCACTGTATTGTCTATAAATGCAAAAGATAGTAGGTGCCCACTTATTATTGTTAGGCATTTAGATAGCCAGTCAGGTTCTGCCTAGTTTGAAGTTAGAGAGCCATATGTGAAGTTATTATTATTATTCAATCTATATATATTAGTGATGTGCCGGATATCCGTATCCGTATCCGTATCCGCGGATATCCAAGGGAGAAGAGAGATCCGTAACCGTATCCGTATCCGTGACTTTTTTGGCGGATCTCACAATACATATTACATAGATGAAATTCTATATAGGTGATTTTGTATTCACTGTAAAACTCTTAAGTATGTGTTTGTAACACTATAAACAGCAACTTTTTTTCTGGCCAAGGTCAAAATGAAAAAAAATTGGTCCTCCATTCAAATGACCAATCAAATGTTGTTAGTTTGTATAGAGAAACAATTTTTTTTCTTTCGTTTTCGGTGTTAGTCCAGAAGAAAAGTTGTTGTTTATAATGTTACTAATATGCACTTCAGAGGTTTTCAGTAAATTTAAAATAACCCTGAATAATGGTTATTAGGTAGCTATGAAAAACTATTGGATTCTGTTCAGATTACTTTTTATTTCTTAAAACAAATATTTGGCACCTTTGTATTGCAATCATTTATCGTACTATACTAAATCAGCTAGGCAGGTCGTAGGTACTGAAAGAGCTATCTTTATAATGAGATCAATCAAACATCTTTGTATTGGCTTATTAAAATAATGAAATATTTAAATATCAACGGCAAAGCGTCAAGTGGCGACAACTATCAAGGTCACGGGCTCCGATTGAGTAAGAAACTTAAGATCCGTATCCGTATCCGTATCCGCGGATCTTGACACCAAATATCCGTATCCGGATCCGTATCCGCGGATATACTTTGTTAACGATCCGGCACATCACTAATATATATATATATATATATATAAATATGAAATGCATCTAAATTAGTACAGCAGCAACACAGGATACAGGAACCAAGCCACCCTTTTTTTTTTTTTTCCGTGCGGAAATCCCCTCGGATACCACCTGTCGGTGGCATGTCGGACTCGAACCGACTAAAACCGCACGCCGTCTCGGGTACTAATAGCCGGGGAACCAGGTATACCCTAGAAACGAAGTCCCTGGTACCCCGACATACCTCGGGTCAACTACAGACGAGTAGACGACCCCCCCCCCGTGTGGGAACCCCATGTTCCCTGTGCTCCCTGGAAGCGAGCGCGCTTCGCAACGCGCTCGCTTCCACTCCGGCCTGCTTCTGCTAGGGTGACAGATGGCCTCACCTGTCACCCCCAGGCCTGCGCTTATGGAGGACGGAGGTCGTTCTGCGACCTCCGGCGCCTGAGTCGCCTGCGGTGCCTGGCCCGTTCCCGGGCCTGGCGGGCCGGGAGAGTCCTAAACCTCTCCCGGTCCCGCTCCGCCGTCTCCTTCGCGAGCATAACTTGCTCGGAGAAGGAGACGGCAGAGTTCCACGCACTCTCGCTCCGCACGATAGTCGCAATCAGGCTATCGAGCGAGAGAACTCCCACTCCGATGGCCGCCACGAGGTCTCGCCTCTGCTCAACCCACGCCGGGCACTCTGCCAGCGTGTGAAGAGCCGTGTCCACGGTCTGGCCATCGCAGTGGTGGCACACACATATTTAAACGTGGATGATCGAATTACATCTCTATATTAGTCTGATGATAGATCGATTCCAACACGATCTGTCTTAACCATTTTCGAGAACTGGGTCAGGCAAATACCCGTAACATGGTATCTCTGTCATAAATACTCACTTTCTAATATAACACACTAGTTAGCATAAAGTTTTAATATAGGATTTAAAAAGAGAAATGTTGCATGTAATGTGCTTTGTCAATCTAATAACTTTTAAGTACTTCCACAGTCCATTTTTTCTCGTGTCCAGTTAGATAATATCTGGGCCCCGCCTGTACCTACTGACCTTTGTATAGGAAAGATAAGCCACATTTAAAGATCGCTTGGGTGATAGTATCGATTGTGCACTTTAGTATAAATCAAGCCAATGTCTTTAGTATGTAAATCACATTATTCAGAGTCATTTCTTTTGTATTTAGTTAAAACTCATGATTTTGCAATTTTTTTTTCTAATGGGGTAGCACCAACATTTATAAAAAAGGCACGATAGATGTACTGAGTTAATGATAATAGAGATTTGCAAAAAGCAAGTAAGCCTTTTGACGACAAAGCAGCTTTCTTTAATTTGGGGTATCACAGCCCAGTAATAAGTTTTAATTAGTTATTTTATTAGAAATGAAGTTGTTTATATGAAAAATACATACAAAATAATTGGGTGTAAGTGAAAATCAGGATGACAAAACCCCATGTTTTTCTATATATCTATGTAAATACTTCCTGTGGCTGATTGACATTAACTACGCGGTTGGCTTTTAATTTGCCATCGTTATTTTAAAGTTTTCTAATAGGTGCAAACGATTCGGGTTGAGCTCAATCTGTAGCAAATATTCCGCCGAAAAATCTTTCTAAAATTTACTATAGAGTATATTTAGGCTGTCTTTTCTCTTAAAGCACCGGTTATCGCTTAGGATTGTATTTTATGTATTGTATGTGTATTTTATTATATTTTTACTTGTTTTAATGTACTTAGCTTACACGACGTCACTGATATTTTGAAGAGCAGTATATTCTTTTGTATTTCTCCATTCATCATCATAAACAGTAATCGTACAAGCTGTATTCCGCTTCCATTCGGCTTCGGGGTGTAGCGCATGTTCAATGTAACTCGTCCACCACATTAACCACCAGTCTCTATATCAGAAATACATATATTGACTATTCATTAATACTCATAAAATAGTTATTAACTTGAAGCCTTCTAATTGAGACAAAATAGCAAATTCTCTTCAGCAGATAACAGAGCGGGACAAATAAATGGGCCATAATCGTTGATTTATTTTATTTGTTTTTACGTTACGAGGGCGGTCAATAAGTCCGTGACTTTTTGAATTTCTGACCTCTTTACTGAAAAAGCAACACTACTCCTGTCAACAGGCATCTGTCAGTTGACTTCTGTCAAAATTTGAACTTGCTGCGTCAGTTAGTTTGTGTTTGACAGCTATCTTTATCAGACTACCCAGTAATTTGAGGAAAAAATGGAAAGAAGTGAATTTCGTGTGCTTATTAAGCATTATTTTTTGCGAAAAAAAACCATTACCGAGACCAAGGCTAAGCTTGATAAATACTATGGGGACTCTGCACCATCGATTTCAATGGTAAAAAAGTGGTTTACTGAATTTCGTTGTGGCCGTACAAGCACTGAAGATGCCGAACGTCCTGGACGCCCAGTTGAGGTCTCTTCACCCGAAACAATCGAAAAAATTCACGATATGGTGTTGGCCGACCGAAGATTGAAAGTGCAAGAGATTGTGGAAGCCGTAGGGATCTCGCATGGCTCAGTGGTTTCTATTTTGAATGATCACTTGGGCATGAGAAAGCTTTCCGCAAGATGGGTGCCGCGATTGCTCTCAGTCGACCACAAACGCAATCGTGTAACAACTTCACAGGAAGGCTTGGCGTTGTTTAATCGCAATATGGAGGAGTTTTTTGCGCCGTTTTGTAACCGTGGACGAAACATGGATCCATCACAACACACCAGAGACCAAACAACAGTCAAAACAGTGGTTTTCTAAGGGTGAATCGGCGCCAAAGAAGGCCAAGGTGGGTTTGTCAGCCAATAAAGTTATGGCGACTGTCTTTTGGGATGTACGCGGGATAATCCACATTGACTACCTTCAAAAGGGAAGAACAATCAATGGGGAATATTATGCCAACTTATTGGACCGATTTAATGACGATTTGAAAAAAAACCGACCTCATTTGGCCAAGAAAAAAGTTCTTTTCCACCAAGACAATGCAAGGGTGCACACATGTGCAGTTGCCATGGCAAAAATCCATGAATTGCTCCCTCATCCGCCCTATTCTCCAGATTTGGCTCCGAGTGACTACTTCTTGTTCCCAAACCTGAAGAAATGGCTTGGTGGAAAAAGATTTGACTCCAATGATGAAGTCATCTCGCAAACAAAGGCCTATTTTGAGGACCTCTACAAATCACATTTTTTGGAAGGGATAAAAAAATTTCAAGGGAGACTACGTTGAAAAATAAAATGATTTATTAATCAAAAAATCTGTGTTTTATTACAAAAGTCACGGACTTATTGACCAGCCCTCGTATATTATGTTTTGAACTTCTTTTTATTATTTTTCATTTTGTTTTTTTTTCTGTTTAAAATGTTAAAGATTAGTTGAAGAAAAAAATGCTACAGTTTAATTCTTTTTTTGGGTAAAAAATTAAGTAATTCTAACATAGTCTTTATGGCTTCTATTTGGCTTTCTCCAAGGCTTTAATGCACCTAAATTATGATAAATCCAAAAAACTTTATTATAACAGATTCCAAAAAATGAGAAAGTTCTCGTTTAGAATGTCTATATTTTATTTTTAATACGCGTTTTCTCCGATGTGGGCCGATTTTCAAAATTCTATTTGTAATCGAAAAGGTATAGAAATGATCCTATTCATTGTCACCAAGTCAGGATGTGATGATTGTTACCTCAAAACTCCTTTATTGCAAAATTCTTATTTGTTTGGATTGGTATACTTCCTCCTGGTCCCATTCATACTACCCCTAAAGGTGAAAAATTAAGAGATGAGGAATATAAATTTATTACAATAGGATAGATGACTGTCAAATTAAATCAGTATTTTTTAAACGTCAAAACGCTAGACGCGGTACATTTCTGTATGAAATACTATTTCGTATATTGACATCAAGAAGTTAAATCATGGAGGACAATTCAGGCTATACTTTAAGATGTAACATTTAATGATGCCGTCGAAATAATTTATTTTAAACCTAGGAATCTACCCTATTCTTCATGATGTACACATTAAAGTCGGTGATACTTAATGATTAAGGTAGGAAAACTAACAGATAATAGTAATCTGTTAGTTTTCCAACCTTTTAGGTGTGGAATATTTTCGTCAAATCGAAATGGGTCCAACCTTGAGTAAAACTAATTTTAATAAAATAATATGATTGAAATCGATTTACAAATGACAGAGACATCGAAAAAGTAACATTCAAATAAAAAATAAACATGTGATATTTAAAACCTCTAAAGTCGATTTTAAAATACCTGAATGATTGCCTTTTAAATTGTAGTTTTCAAAGAATAACTAGCTGTTTACAATACATAGTAGGTATATTTTTTACGTGTTTACTGTAAACAATGTCATTAGACAGAGAAATATTATTTAAATAACACGTCAAGTAAGCAAAAGTAACCAATGTTACTGTCACAACTTTCAACACAATATAATTAACCCGCAAGGGAATCTTCTGATTAAATATGTTACGATTTTTTTTCTAGGTGTAGGTGGTTGGGCCTGGTCGAAGCTTGGCGGGGGTAAGGAAGCTCCTGCCAGCGGAGCAGCGGCTCTTACGGCGCTTAATCCATCAACGGATCCCTTGGTAGCTGCACAGTACGCACCTGTCCGTGACGCGCCGCCAGCGCCAGATGACGAAATGCGTAATCTTATGGACAATAAGGACTGGTAAGCACTACCCTCATAGTTTTAACTGCACTGGTTTAAGCGGTCACTTCGCCGCTTCTTACTGCGCTGAATGTTGTGGGTACCATCCCCACATGGGAAAACACTGGATCCACTAATTGTTGTTCTGAGTCCAGGTGTTCTTTGTGTCCGTTTGATGAGTGTTTGTAAAGGCCCCCGCGAAACAGGATATGTTTTCAATGCGGGAGATGTCTTTTTAAAAGCTGAACTAAAAAAAAAACAAGAAGATTTATTATGAAAGTTATAGTATATGGTAGACCTGTACAGTAGTACAGATTAACATTAAAATAATTTCAGAAAAGGTTATTCTTAAAAAAAGCAAATTGAAATGCAAGATGACATATACAGATTTTTCTACAGTATGAATTTGAAGATAATGCTAATCTTAATTTATGCTCAATCACAAAAAAGGTCACTTAAAAATAATACCGTCCTCTTAGAACCTAGTAAGTATTTAAAGTAGCATCAGCACCAAATCCAATTATTGTTTAGTAGGTATGTGTTCAATGATTTTTATTGTTAATGGTATACAAACACAATTTTTTTTATTAACATACATTCGAGGTATTGAAAACCTAGTTGTAGTTATTATATATTAGATAAATCTCAACATGTACCGTTAGTTTTGCAAAAAACGATAGCAAATAACTTTTAAGCAATAGTGGAGATTTTGATAAAAGAAAAAGTGATTAGATTTATGTAACGGTCAGTTTTAGCGTGTTATTAATTTGCTATCAACTGTTATACGTATATTGGATTACGTAGGTATTATGTTAGCAGACAGTTTTCAACAAGAACTAGTATGTAGATAATCCGTTATTTAAGTAACGGCTGCTTCAGTCGTTAATATGTTAAATAGACACAAGTAATAAAGCAGCTCTTTATTTATTCCTTTGAATGCTCTTTGAACAATATAGTTTATTCTCTCTTCATTTTATATTTTATTGTTTTAAGACCAAGGTGGTCCTTTTGAAAAAAAAAAAAACAATTTTGTATAGTCAGAATGTATTGAAGGTGCCTTAGGATCCCTGACTTGTATTGAACTTTATTAAAGCGACCTGCCATGTTGGTGTCCGGAGCCACACCTTGCACTGGGATGAACTTAAAAAAAAAGAAGTGAATGTTCTAATCACACATTATTAATTCAATCTGTATGTAGTATGTGTAAAGATACAATATTAATTAATTATTATAGTTGTGGTATAATGATATCAAAAATAATTACTGATAGGCCCTTGCTTTATCGCATGTTCATAATTAATGGCATTTTAAAATAGTAGCCTTTGTTTTTTAGTATCGAACTCTTCGCTTTGTGATTTGGTTATTTAGCACCGCACCTATTTCAAATATACCAATAAATGTACATTAATACAGAAGCACAAACTATGACATACTATCCTTATCTTAGAAAATAAGTCAGTAAATCTTAATAGCTCTATATTGCATTTAGAAAAACGAGTTGTGCAACTGGTTATACTCATGACAATATCTCTAGTTAGAGCAACTAATACCGTCATAGTGATACAAAATTCCAGCTTAGTGTAATGTTACCATTAATGAATAACACTTTCTTTTGTTACTATCGGATAATCTTGTGTAAAACGAATCACTGCGTTGTTCATTGGCATCACTGTTAAGAACAACATATAACATAACTAGTGTAACTAATTGAAATATTTTAGTTATGACTTCTACTAAAAATGGAATGTATTCGTAACTGTATATTAACTGACAGCCTTACAACCTATTGTTACGGGCTGGAAGATATCTGAAAAATAATAAAAAATTAACAACATTTCGCACTGAAATGCTTTTTTAAAAATTACTTATGATATAGGGGGCCAAACGAGCAAATGAGTCAGGTGATGGTAAGTGACTACCGCCGCTCATGGACACTATATATAGATATAGGCCGGGCTTGTCTCATCGAAAGTTCCCGAAGTTTCGTAACCTTTCACATAAAATCTTGTATAACAACCCGACTGATTCGACACCCTTCTGGAAATTTATAAAACATCATGAAAAATTGTGTTACTGTTTATAGAACGTTCAATTATTAAATTGTAAATTGTGAATTACGTCTTCTGGATCTTGTTTGTAGGTTCTCGAAAACTCTTAAATTTCCTTTACTTTGAAATGAGTTTTCATAATGTCAACTAAGTTCCCATTTAGCTATACAAACTTTGATCGTTTATATTGCTTTATTATCCACTTCTTCTTCGTTACCATGTTACAGAATAACATATTATGTTTACTTAAACTACCGCACGGGTACTTACATCACGTGGCCATTGTTAACAGTGCTTCTCGTGTTTCGAGCCGGCTCAAGATGTTAAAGTTCATGCCATTGTCTTCTCTTGTTTACTTCACGAGTCCTAGCTCCGTGACGTGCAGTGATGTGTCCTTTTGACCTGTGCATACATTATAAGCTATTTAACAAAAAACATTTACAAAATTCATATCTAATACATAAAAAAAAATATATATTCATACAAAGTGTGTTGCAGTTACACACTGAGTGTTACATAGTGTGTGCAGTGTGCAACATAAACACACACAATAGGAAATGTGAATTTAAGTAATAGGTATAACGTATACTAGAGACATCTAAGGCATGGTTAAACTGCAACACTGTAATTTAACAGAAATAATAAATAAGTATATTTTAAGTTAAAACAATTTAATTTTTTAAATGAATAGCCCCTTAAGCAGCTTTAATCCTATTTGTATATAAAACGAAGTCAAATTTGAGACATTCAATACAAACCGTATTTAAGTAGGAAATGGCTGTAAATTGATTTTAAAATAAGTAAACAAAATAAATTTGACAATTAAGATTATAATGAAACGTTATACATATGATTATTTTCTTTTCAGTCTAAGCAGTGCGGAAGAAAGCGACAAAATGCTGGATGGCAGGCCATCAGTAGCGTAAACTCAACTCAAACGATCGAGATCACTCTCGAGCTTAGGCTAGTCCCAATGTCCCCCTAAATCCAATAATGAGCTGTGTTAAAGTTGCACTACTGAGTACCTAAGGCGTTATCTACACATGTCCGGCTTATTGCCGCGTCAATGCTGGCCAAGAATAAATAAGACTTAGTAATCACAGACATGCAACCTGGTCCAAACGTCAGACAAGTTAAAGGTATGTAATACCTCTATGTCATCGCATTAATTCCTGTCGACATGCGACAGTTTAAAAGTTAGTAAAAATGTATAAATTTTGTATGGTTGTATGTGTCTATTTTATCCGGGTATTCAGTGTTTTAAACTTAGTATTGTTTATATAGTTCCATCGATTTTCTTCACCTATCGATTTTTTATTATACCGTTAAAATAAAAAAAAGGCACTGACTTGGCTGTGTGTAGACACCCCTACGCATAGGTAACGTAGAATTTATTTTTATGATATTTCATCGCAATTGACTTGCACTCACCGTACAATAAGGTAATGTATCTTTAACACTACTCCATTTTGTTCAAGTTTCGTGTCCATATCTTAAGGTGGCATTTTGGTACAAAATATAGAAGTACTATGCGTTAAAACATTTCAGCGGATAATGTGTTAAACGCAAGTAAAAAGGGCTTGTTTGTGTGATATACCATCAATTTTGTTTGTGATGCACTGTACTATCCACACTAAAGTTTTGATATTATTCATATCGTTATGTCAAGTAATCATTTTACCATGTTTATAAGGTATAAGCACAATCCGGAACTAATTTTAGTGCCTGTTTTTACCAAGTTCCAGATGAGAGATCCTCTAAATTTTAATATATCTTAACTACGTAATAAAATTGCTTATTTATATTAATTCTTCTCCACTGTGGTGTATACAGGCTGTGGTGTATAATGTTCGCTTGTAAAGAATGCAATATCTGGTGTTAAAATAACCGAATTCATTGTAACTAGAATGAGGCAAAGTAATTATTAGTTAGTATGCGGTACATTATAAGCAAATATTTATTATAATTACATACAATGTATGTAAAAACCTTTTATTTATGTAAACTTTATTATACTTAACACTCTTACTAAGTATTCTTAACGAAGTGTTCAGATCTAATATAATCTCACATCATAATCATGTGCATTTTAAATGTATTTTTCTTCATAAATTTAATAATATCGCAGTACGTATTATCACCTCGAAATTGAACATTGGAACTGTTTATTTTCTTTAACCCTGGTACATTTTTTAATGGAAATTTAGGTAAAAACCTATTTACACTTTTTTTTTCTAATTTTTAAATATTATTACTTACTTTAAATAAACAGTTTCATGTTCATGGTCATAAACGTACTGTATAACCTATATTCTAAGTGTTAAACACTAATTTGCAATATTGTTGAAGCTTTGGTAATATTTGTCTGAATTATATGATTAATTATTAAAAGACAAGTGGCCAAATTATCGTCCAGATTGTATTATAGCATGTGCATATATACACATTATCTATTTGTAATATATTTAGGATATGAAATAGGTCTCACTAATATTCTCATTTACTTAAAATATAAAGTATTAGAACCATGTAACCCAATCGGCATCTAGAGATGTATAAAATTAGTGTTATTTAAAGGTATGTAGCTTGTCTTATAACTTTGTTCAACAGTTACTCATGTACACTAGCCAGATATAACATGGAATACCTATGATTTTTATGGAGACATAAGCATACTTCTCTTTCTTTCTACTGAAAGTTGTACTTAACTCACGTGATACTGACACTGACTGCTCTAAAACATGTATTAAACTAAACGGAATATTAATCAATGTTTTTTGCTGTAGCGATGTTTAGCTATCGATACTTGACCTTGATTAATTAATTGTTAGTGCTATCGAAAATATTGACATTTTCAATTACAGTTACTGTAAAATTACCTATTTTCTTATATCCTAATTCTATGAATACTTTCGATGTCTGTAATCGAGATCTGGAAATTCGGTCGTCGATATATTATGTTCCCGATAGACTATCACTACCGCAATAACACTGGTTTAACTATTTTGTTATAAATGTCATAAGTTCTCGACGTTCAAACAAAGTGGTTAATTGATCACCATGATATTCTTCTTTTTGTACTTAAAAACAGCGAACGTTTAATTCGTGTCTTGTTTCTTCGATGACAAAAGACAGACATCAAGAAACTCGTTTTTCTTATTACTATTACCTTTGTTAGCTATGTTCTCAAATGCTAAACCTATAGACTTATTTCATAGTACGCATACTTTGGTAAGATAAATACTGGTTTCGGCTTGTCGTTATAAAAAACAAATTTGGCGGTTGGAAACTGTTGTTGAGTTTTTATTGACCCTCTATTTTTGGTATGGTTATCCAAGCATTAAATATGTATTAATGAATTTCATTAGCGTCACATTCATAAATTATTTTGTTATAATTTTTTATCTGGTGACTGTTTAAAAATAACTAGGGATAAAATGGGTTATAAACCATCCACTTTCTATTATGCCATTTTTGAAAACGATTTCTAAATAAAAAGTGTGCACATTTTCAGGAAATTACGAGATGTAAAACTTATCTTTTAAATGCTTAATAGCTGATTAGTGATCGCTGCTAAGTTATGTCATAGGTATTATTAATTTAAAAGGTAATATCCCTCTATCTGTACTGAAATTTTCATGATCATTTTTTTCTGATGTAGTATAAAAATCTGTTAAAAATCACAATCTGAGCTTGGCGTGCTTTATATGAAATAAATATAATTGATTATATTATTACTTACATATTATTTTCTAATTGAAGAATAACATCATCCATTTGCGTTGCGGCAATTTATGGGAAGGTATCAATTGCTATATTCTATGGGTGTGTAACATCGTAGTTGTTGCAAGTCGTAAATGCATAAGCTACGTAATTTTCTGTTAAATTAATTTTGTGTTATAAAAAAATCTGATGATCCTATCAATATTTTGATTTATGTTCAAGGAACGCTTGTTTGACGTACAATAAAAATAAAATCCGGCAAGCGTTGAATATTTGATATTGATTTGTTTTATATGTGATAAACTATCTACATTTCGTGGACAACCTTTAATGGTAGAGGTTAAATTTTCAAATTTCGAAAATGTAAGTCCGATTTATAATAATTTAGTCTTTTTATTTTAAACGACCGTCCTTTGTAGATTTAAGTGTAGGCCATGAGTTAATTTTAAGATTGTCTAGAATGCATTTTGAGCTAAACAAAATGCAGCATTTAATGTATCGAAACTTAAACATACGATGTATTAATTTATTATGAGCTCTCTTTAGTTGTAGGGAAAAGTTAAGTAACTGGATATTCTCATAATATTCTTTATCACAATGTTGCCCCCACGAAAGCAACAAAAATGTGTACTTAGCTAGTTTTTGTGGAAGTGCATATGACGTTTTAGATTTTATCTCTATTTCCTATATATTTTATATCTCTGTCACAATTTTTGCGAAGTAACTGTGAAAAATGCTCACAATGAACGACTCGGATGTTTTAGATATTCTTGAATTGCTTTTTATTTATAATCTATCCGCTTAAATATGCTATTATTATTTATTCATTTTTTCTCGAAACGTAAATATGCTGTATACGTAAGCGTACCCAATTAATGTGCATGAGTCACGTGTAATAATTAATGATAATAAATAGCAAGAATGTTTAACGACCACGATCAGCGCCGGCCCTAGGCCTTCATTAGGGGACAGGGTATTTTATATAATTTGTAGTTCAGTCTCAAGTTAAATATGAATTACCTAATTCTTTAAACTGAACTTGTTTATAAATTTTTATAAAAAATTTGAGCCTCATAATTCTTTAACATGAAGAACTACGTGTTTATCTTAATCTAAATAATAAAATCTGTTACCTATGTAGGTATTTTAATAACTCCATATTGGCCGACAGCGTGTAGGAATACATGATTTATTTCATTTGTTCCGCTCCGCATTATTCCGCTCGCTATGCCCCAGGTCCGGCGCTGACCATGATAGCCAATATAATAAGTAATTGGTGTGACTTAGTTAAGCCGGTACTGCTTACTGGATTTTATAAAATTGTACCTTTAGTACTACCTACATACTTTTATTTTTTTAATGATGTACTTATCAATGTAAAATGTTTGGATAATACAGATACTTTAGTTATACATCAAAACTGTTGTTTTATTTAATTTATGGAATATTATTTATAGCTTCTGACACTATAATTCTTGCTTCATACTCTCTCTAGGTACTATTGATACCAAATACATCACTAGTCCATTCATTCATGTTAAGAAAATAGTAACGCGTCGATCAAGCCCTGCACCCCGACCAATCTGAATGAACCTGATTAGTGAGGTTTGATTGAATCCTCTATATTTTCTTCTTCTAACACAAATAAACTACAGTGTGAAGTCTTCTCGGCGTCCTTAGCAATGATAGCACGCAAACACTGCGGGAGCCAGTGTCTATACAGTACTCGGCAAGTCACTCGATCACAAGTTTCTCGTTTCAACCCCCACAAGTCATGTCATGTCGTAGATTTTAATTTTGATAACCCCAAAATAGCACCACCTAAGACCTTTTTTGTACGGGTAAGGGTCAGTCCATTTTCTCCATTTTAGTGTGGAAACCCCCTCGGGCCGTCACCCCGGGGTTTGCGGCGGGGTGGGGCGGAATCGGACCAACTAAAACCACACGGTGTGCTACTCTGCGCCTGGAATACGAGAGATCCGGGAACTACTATTGTTAAGACATCCATCCACCCGCCACCCGGTTCACCGGCGACGAATTGGGTCCGAGTGGAGTGAATTCTCCCGGGCCCTTTTCGCCGCGAGGTGACGTCTACGCAGAAAGATGCGACCGCGGTGAAACATCTGTCTCTACCGGCCATGGAGCGTATGACGACCGATGACAACAATGAGGACCCGGCGCTGCGGCGCCCAAGCCTGGCGAATTGCCATGTGCTGAGCCGAGTCTTCACTGCAATCGCAGTGGTGACGGGCGGGACTCAATTCCCTCCTAGCGACCGAGTGCAGGTACTTCCCGAAGCGGCCGTGGCTGAAAAGGACCTCAGCCGGAAGGAAAGGGTCCTGTGCTGCCGCCCTGCCTACTTGACGATGAACGGTTGGAGCGCCTCCACGGTGGCGACAAACGAGTCATCGTAGCTCGGCGAGCGTCCTCACGCCACGCGAGCGACATTCTTTGTCGAGCACTTCCGCCTCCATATCCCACAGGGGTGTTCCGGCCAACGCGCACGCCGCCTCCGTCGACACGGTGCGGTAACCGCGTATGGCTCTAACCGCAAGTATCCTATGAGGGCGCTAGAGGTGCCCTATTCTGGGCGGTCAGAGCCGTCGCCCACACCGGTGCACCGTACAGTGCAGTGTATTGACTTGACAACCCCCGTGTACAGCCGTCTTGTAGCGAGGTTGTTTCCACCGAAATTGGGCAGTCGCCCTAGGGCAGATGCAGCGCCGACCAGCTTTGGAGCAAGCTCCCTGGAAGTGCTCGTCCCGTTAAGTACACTTCCCGTTAAGAATCAGGCCCAGATACTTACTTATTCAAGACCACCCGTAAGCCCAGCGCCTCAATGCGCACAACAGGGGTAACAGTCAGCCCAACCCCAGCCCCCAGGTCCCCGCTCTTTCAACTGACTTAGACGGTTAAAAATAGTTAAAGAAGATGTGGAAGAATACATCAATCCATATTTTTATTGCAAAAATAACAAAATCATGGCATTATTAGTATGCTTATATAAATGATATAATTAAATACACTTGTATAATATTAACTTAAAACTAGTCAGTCTCTGTTAGTGCGGCGCCACCAAGGAACTCCGGTCACATCTTCTTCAGCACATATGTTTACAGTTGGTCTGGAAGTGAAATTTAATTAAATGTATTTCAATAACCATTGTAATTAGATGTTACGGACAAAAGGAAAGTCGACTTAAGATTCAGAGATAGGCAACTGTTTAAAAAAAAAATGAAAATGATTATTGATGATGATGAAGAAATACGGTACTTGTCCTTGATGTCTGTTCTAATTATGATAAATGTGTGTGAGACTTATATGAGTAAATAAAATAAGCTCTCAAACCGATTGTTACAATATTATTACAATTGCAAATTATTTATTCATAGTTGGACCAAAGAACCAAAGCCATACCTTAGCTAATAAATATTTGTAAAGACATCTAATTTCTAAACCTTTCCAGGCCCTGATGATATCAAGGTCATGTTGAGGGCCTTTTAGTTTCAGATACTTGCCTGTATACTTGACTATGAGGTAAAGTAGATGCCAGTAATGGGTAAGCTTGTCCGGGCTGCTCCTGCAATGTATTGTATAAGTTCGTCTGATAAATACTATTTTAAATAGTCAACTTATTTGGTATTTTATTCTGCAATTGTATTTGGTATCTAGTTATAGATACATCGATTACTTATAATACATTTTTAAAAATTTCAATGAGAAAGAGTTTTAAATGAAATTTTACACTACATTGAGTTTACAAAAAGGATCAGAAACAAATTCGTATGATGTTACCTGTATTGATTGCATTGGTAAATGCATGTTAGCGCGCAGTTTCCGCTGTCGGATTTCACGACGCACACAACATTGTACACCGAGCAAAACACCGCACACACAAGAAGAGAGGCAGCCTAGAGAAATTAATAATATTAATAGTATTTGTTGGCAAAAATAGGTCACTTTATCTAGCCAAAGTTGGCCTGTGCAAGTGAGAAGTTTGGAAAACATTGAAAATTAGTCCTGTCTGGTGATAGGCATGGTCCCATACAATTTGCAATAAGTAGGAATATTATTAATGAATTGAATAAATTATTTCCAATTCATATAGACTATTGTATTTACATTTTGAAATGTTTATAACTTACCTATATATACTAATACACCAAGGTCACCATTACGATTTGTGCGTCGTAGTACAATACCAGCGATACACAAAGATATCCCTGTTAATATACCTACTACAAATATTACCTGAAACAAAAAAATTATTTGTGTATCACAGGTAAGTTATACCTATGCCTAAAAACACAGTTTAAAAATTTATTGTATGTCTGTCTGTTTGTTATCAGTAATCTTTAAAACAGCTGGACCAATTTTGATAATATTTTTCTACCAGGTAGCTGTTTATATGAGGAGTAACTTTGGCTATTTTTTCACATAAAAAAAACTATACAATTTCGCCCCGTCCGGGAATTGAACCCACTAAGCCAGTGCTTTTCTAATTAAATTATTAATCATAATCTAGCATAGTGAAATTTAAATAATAAAAACAAACCTGTAATATGTAATAGCAAACATACTCAAATCCAGGACAGTGCCCTCCACAAGCCCCAATAATAGGAACTTCTGGACTGACAGATGGTAAAGGTGGCACAGGAGAGCGACTCACTGCTTGTGTATGTGGTTCCACATCACATAAAGGTAGCGAAAACGCTGAAGCACATTGTGGAAACGAGTAGGATTCTGTAGGACCTGTGTGGGTGAACACTTTATCCCCCTTTTTGAAATTTTGCCAAGTGCCAGCTCCATATGGGGACTGATACACAGGTGAGGGTGGTCCATAGTCTCTCACTGTTCCATTGTAATAATGAGGCATCTGAAACGCGATAAATCAAAATAGAATACTCGATGTCATTAGATGTATTCATATCAGGTATGTAAACATCAAACAAAATGATTTTACATGGTAAGCATTGTCAGATGTGGAGCTATCAGTGCCTGCAACTTGATAGATTGGTGCGTTAATATCGTCCGCCCACGGATACTTTGCCCTTTGTTGAGCCGCAGATGTAAACTGCTGATCACTTCGAGGCACTACTGTTGTTTGGTACGGATGAACGGTACGAGGTGATAATTGTTGTTTGAACATTTTTCTCTTCACTGTTACCTAAAACGAGGTATTTTTTATTTTACTACAGACACAGACAACAAACATTTAAGTTTGCAACGTGAGAATGAACTGAAGATTAGTGGTTATACCTCATTTTAAAGGTTGCACAATGACTATTACTTAAAATTTATGAGAATTTTATTTAAACCACATAAATCAGGTTTTACGATGAGCAAAATAATATCCCTACAATGATAAACATTGACTGAACAGAACAGACGCCGCCATGGTCATGATTTGTCAATAGAATATATATATTTTTTTTTTTGGAATTGAATGACCTGGTAACTAAGTCCTTTAAGTCCAGTCAATAGAATATATTTTCGTCAATTTGACTAGTGCTTGATTCAGATGAAAATAACTTTTAGTCGATTTGAGACTATAGTATGTATCTAGACTACAGTATTTTATTTTCTTTGCGTTTTCACGGCTCTATCATACATCTGTTAGATTAATAATTATGCAGATGCTGTTGGGCACCTCTTCATGAAAAAAACGACTTTTTTTTCAATTGTCATTGGATTGTTTCTTACCGATTGATATCAGGTTCCAATTTACTCAAGAACAGGAGCAAGTCGCTACGTTCGGTAACAACTCTTTTTAGTAAGCAGCGTTGAAACAGCACTTAAGCCACGTTCACACAAATATGACGATGAGAATGCTATCAAGAATCGTTAAAAGATTGACTACATAACAATCCAGGGTACAATTGCGGGATCGGTTTTTGTAGCCAAAATTATTGGTAGCTATTTTTGATTACTTACTTGATTACTTTTACTTGATTTTTATTTCCTCGTTTGTTGTCAATTGCTATGTTGCTCTTTTACTGTCGATGCAATTTAAAAACGGATCTAACACCCAGTCTGGTATTTCCAATTTTATAATATCCTGGTATCGTTCGGTGAAGTCAATGTGGAGGTTTTCCAAATGTTGGCAGTAGGTAAACAAGTCGTCGTTACTGCAGGATATTGATAAATTCGGAAAATTGTGAAAATCACGTTTGCCCATATTTTTTTGTCTAGAAGCAGTTTGTCTGCGAAAGCAGCAATGACATTTTTTGTTTTAATTAATTTAGTTGGAGATTCATGTCGTTTAACAATTTATACAGGTCTGTCATGTAAGCTATAGCATTCTTTGATGTAATGAGCTTGTTGCGCAATTCTGTAACTTTAGTTTCCAAGAACTATATTAATTGCCTTTTGATAGCCAATGAACTTCAGTATGAAACAACAAACGGTTCAAATCTTCGTCATTAGTGACACAAAGTAGAGTTGTGTAGCTCCTGAGTGAGTGATATAAAAGATATATATCATTCACGACGATAAAATGTATCACTCACTCACACTAGCTCCGAATATATCAGTAACTCACTACTAGCTCACTAGATCACTAGCTCAACGACGCCGATCTTTGTTTCATGAGCGAGTGAGACTAAAGATAAATGAGTGAGATAGATGATGGTTGAGTTCACGCAGGTTTCTTTATGCAAAATGTACATTATTTCTATGGGATCAAAGTTTAATATTACTTAAGCATTAAGCCAAGTACAAGGAAAATCAAATTATTTATGATTTCTATAATACAACCTAAAAAAAGTACAAGAAATAATTTCCTTTTTTTAATTATTATGTAAAAGGATGTTAATAATTATGTAATCTTATCAAGATGAAAAAAAATGTATTTAAAAAATAGGTTAAAAATGTAGTTTCAAAAACTGAATTAATTTTATTTAATGTGAAAGTTAATATGAAAATAAAGAAAGGTTTGTATGGCGAGAGAGGCTTAGAGTGAGTGATATACGAGTATACTGAGCTAAACGATCTAGATGAAGAAATTAATTAATTGTGAGACCAATCAATTGAATCGGATCAATGAGCTAGTGAGCTAAACGAGTTAGTGAGCTAAATGAGCTAGTGAGCTAAACGAGTTAGTGAGCTAAATGAGTTAGTGAGCTAAACGAGTTAGTGAGCTAAATGAGTTAGTGAGCTAAACGAGTTAGTGAGCTAAATGAGCTAGTGAGCTAAACAAGTTAGTGAGCTAAATGAGCTAGTGAGCTAGATGAGTGATATATATCTTTTGAGCGAAATGATATATATCAATCTTTTCAGCTCAGTGATACATTTTGCGCATCACTAACACAAAGCTAATGAAATAATCTATCATTCAAAGAGCTGTAGTGTAGTGAGTTTATTTCACATTAACTCGATCGACACGATCACCGAGTTCGGAGTTGCGATTAGCCCAAACTGAAATCTTCGCAATTAGCAAAGCGCTCGCCGTTGAGAGCACTGAACCCATAATACTCTTAGCGGTGGTCAAGAGCGAGTAGCGAGTTGATATGAAATAAAATTAAATTGTGTGCGTTACCGAAGCAGATAATGTCGAAAATGGTCATTTAAATGTCATAGATAATGAGTTATAACATTAATTATAGAGAATTACAGAAGTGGGGCACCCCTTCCGTAATTGTTACGCACATTTGAAAATTTTATTGTATTTCGAAGCATTAATTTAAATGTAAATAAATTCTTTTTTACTTTTTTTGACCTAAAATTAATAAGGGAACTATTAAAAAAGGTTAAACTTAACAAAACATTCGCATAAACTTGTATAGTACCTACATTAAATTATCGAACAAAAATATGGTAACCTAGACAACACTTTTCATTGTGTTACTAGTTTTAGGTGCAGATGGCTCTTTTATCAAAATAAAAATACTCCTGAGTTGCCAGGACATGTGTGTGCCATTGTGCTATTCTCTCATGGATTAACATTTTGTGTTCGCAAGTTGTATGTTTTCTACTTCCGAGTTTCCGACAGATTTTTGGTGACAAGTGTGACAACTAAAAAGTAATTGCAAAAGATGAATACCTACTCTACTAAGAAAATAAATCACGAACTTTAAAAGAATGTTGTGAAGATAATATGTGATGAATTTGATTAATTTGAAAAACCGTGATTATTTGCTTCTGCCGTACGCTATTGTAGAAGGTAACGCGACGGTCAACGAATATTACTTGCCATTATTTATGCTAGTTGTTGAATAACAAGGATTTCAACGGATATCTTCTGTCTATTTAACTATGATTGTACTAACAAACCCGGACGGCGCAATGAGTGCCTGTGATGATACTGATAAACCTGCTCCAGCCGCTACCAATTACTGTAGGGATTACATTCGCGGTTTTTGTACAAGAGAAAACTGTAGATATATTCACAAAATTCCACCAAAGGCGTACTTGAAGGAGCTGTTCCGATTTTGTCATGATTTTCAAAACAAAGGCTGTTACAGAGTAAACTGTAAATTTATACATAGCACTGTAGAAGAAGAAGATAATTTTTTTGAATTAGGAATGTTTCCCCGGGATCCACGAAGTAACATTTTATGCCAAGCTTACATACATGGTGCCTGCTCCAATAAAGAGTGTAAGTTCATACATCCACCAGATGTAGTTGCCAGTGAGGTTTCCTCTCTGCATAATGTTCCACCACCTCAATACACTCGCCCACCACCACCTATTAGAGATGACGATTCTCCCCCAGAGGCTAAACTTAGAAGATTTGCATTTGAAGACAATGGAATTGAAAAGCAAGTGTTGTCAACATCTTTGTGTTCTAATTGTGAAGCATTAGATCATAAAGTGAAATTACTACATGATAATATAAGTGTCTTACTTAAAAAGGTACAAGATTTAACAGAAAAAAATGTTCAGCTGACTTCTATGAATGAATTTTTATTAGGACAGACAGCTTCGGTAAGAACTGATCAACCTTGTGTTATAACATCAAGACATGGCACCTCTGCGCCTGTGTCATTAGCAACTGTAAGCGTAACACCAGTTGTGAGCTTGGCTGGCGCCCTTCCAGCTTTGGTACCTGCAGCAGGTACCCCAAATTTAGCACTAGCTCCAGCAGCATCTCGAGCCCAACTGTTAACTCCTGCTCCACAAATCCTTACTGTAAGCACAACACAACAACTTGTTGGCAATTCTGGTGCTCTCATAGTCACCAGTGCCGGGGCCCAACAACTAATGCAAGTCAGTGATTCTGGTACAATAATGGGTGCAGGACAGACTGTTGTTGCGGTACCCGCACAGTTGACATTAGCTCCCTCACCACAGCAACTAATGAGCAGTGCCTCACAAAATGCAGTGCAACAATTAGTACAGCAATCAGCTTTGCAGCCACAATTAGCACCTCAACATCAAGCACCACAGTTTACAACTCAACAGTCTGTACAACATTTAGCTGCTGCTCAGCAATCTGCTCAACATCTTGCTCAACAGTCAGCTCAGCAGTTAACTGCTCAACAGTCTGCACAACATTTAGCTGCTCAGCAATCTGCACAGCATTTAGCTGCTCAACAATCTGCACAACATTTAGCTGCTCAGCAAACTGCACAACATTTTGCAGCTCAGCAGTCAGCCCAGCACTTAGCAGCTCAACAATCGGCTCAACATTTAGCTCAACAATCGGCACAACATTTAGCTCAACAGTCTGCACAGCACTTAGCCGCCCAGCAGTCTGCCCAGCATTTAGCTGCCCAACAAACTGCACAACACTTGGCAGTGCAGCAATCAGCCCAACATTTAGCTGCTCAGCAATCTGCACAACGCTTAGCAGCACAACAGTCTGCCCAACATTTGGCAGCAGCTGCACAGCAATCAGCCCAACAATTAGCAGCTGCTGCACAACAATCTGCTCAACACATGGTGGCACAGCAGTCTGCACAGCAACTAGCAGTTCAACAATCAGCCCAGCAGCAATTGGTGCCTTCAGCCCAACAATTAGTTCATCAAACATCTACCCAACAAATTACCATTTCTAGCACTAGTCAACCGATGGCACTGCCCAATTCTCAAGCTCAGCCTATTACATTCCCTATAATATCACAAAGTATACTTCCACACTGACACAAAACTGTATTACTGTTCTAATGAAAGAATTTGATTATGTTATAATGTGTTGCCTTTCAATTAATGTGAGAAGAATGTAAGTTGAAATTTAAAATGAACAATTATCTTGGACATTCTTTGCTTTGATTTTTTTAAGTGTATCATTAAAACACTGCATTTAAAGAATCTTTAGACTATTATTGTCACTATTTATTATTTCAATATAAGTAAAGGACTAAAAGGTTTAAAAAGTATGAAGCAGTATTTTTATGATATTATAGCTGTAGTTATGGAAACAATACCCCAAAATTAGATAGGTATTATTTATCAATCCAAAACAGCAAACATGTGATGTTATTAAGAGCAGAGATTGCAGAGAGTCTAATATGTAAGGCTCTGCCTAGTTTGGGATCAGTACTGTGTGTGAGATCTCAGAGTTAAAATTATTAATGAATATTTATAACTTTATTTGTAAGACTAGTTTTATAGTCCTCCTTTTACCCGACTGCCAAGAAAGGGTTACGTTTTTCGCACGTATCTTGTATGAATGTAATGTTTTTTATTACCTCATATCTTCCAAACCGCTGTACGGATTTATTTAATTATCATATCGTTAGATTCGTCTTGGTAACCCAAGTGTTACGATTATTAGCTTAAAGTAAAAACGCAAAAAATTTTTTGATACTAAAATACCTATAAAATTAAAAGGTTTATCATTAGGATTTTAAAATGGTATATCATGACCATATTTTTAGTTCATTACTTTTAAATTGTCCTTTTGCAGTCGGGTTTTTGATTAATCTATCGTTAATGTTTTTTTGATATAATTTCATGTAGTGATGTGAAATACGATTCAGTTCAATTTTTAATAAATTGAAACCAACTGGACATTTTTAGTTGATATCTCCTATAATATGAAATGTATACGAAAACGTAAGTTATTTCATTTGTAAGTTCTCAAAATTGGTATATGATGTGGAAGAACAGGACTGAATGATGTTTAACAAGTTTAACATGGATGTTAAAACTACATAGGTACCTATATATTAGTTAGTAATTATAAGCTTGGCTACAATGGGCTGTAAGTAGATAATTTATTATTATTATTAAAATGAAACATTACATGTGGTTTTTATTGATCATACAAATTAAAACTAAGTCACATCCTTACACAGGTATCACATTAGGTAATCGTTTCTTCAATTTCTTTGAAGTTAGTAGGTTCATTTTTCTTGTACTTAAGGATTTTTCCTTTAACTCCCAGTACCAAGTCACCGGTTGCATCAAAAGCTATAGCTGTGCCATTATCAGGTGCATCATCATATTTTCAGGGTTCCAGTATCATTTTCATGTAAATACATGAGTGTTACTGGCTACAAAAATGCTGCCATTGTGAAAAGCTATCTGGGCCATGCCGTTATAAGTTACGTTACCGATATAGATAGGAATTGAATGAGTTGATTTCAGAACTTAAAAATGTTTGTCTTTTATGTAATAAAAGTTGTTTTTATCATCTATAGCCAGTTCATTTAGCGATTCCAGACTGTCAAACCAAACTTTCTAGAAACACTCAGACCAAATCAAACAATAAAGGTTTACCTATGCACACAAATGTTTGACTTGAGCGGGAATCAAACCAGCAACCTTTGGCGCAACAATCCGTTACACAAATCACTACCTACGCCATCCGGCCTTCGCTTTGGAGGCCGGATGGCGTTTCGATTGTATATTACGATTATGCTTAGATATTCTAGGAAGCTACTAAAACAGCATTTTATAAAACATTAAAGTTACGTATTAAGGAGCTCGCAAAGTTGCAAAGATCTGCTGTTGCAAATTTCTTTTGTAGGTAAAGCACGCACGCAAGTAAGGAAAGAAATTCCGTCCGTAGTGATATGTAGAAAATTGTTGTTGATTTTTAATTTTGAATTACAACCTCTAGGCAGATCGAATGCAAAACAATATTTTGAATATAGCAATATTAAAGTAACAAATTTAAAAAGTGTCATTTTCATGGAATTGTTACACACGATTCGGTCAGATTAACGCACCCGATTGTTTCTTGGCTCCAGTTGTAAACATGTTAGGTACATGTTAAATCATTTGAGATCGAAGCCCTTATAACGTATATTGCGGCTTTTATATAGACTCAAGTCATAATGAGTAAGATAAAGGGACATTACCAGTACCTAGTACAAATAAATAAATTAAAGTTAAATGTACTTTAAAAAAGTTTAAAATAAATCAGTGTAGTCATAACAATGTTCTAAGCGCCATAAAACTGATTTATTTTGTTATTTTACTATTAAACTCTTTTAAGTGCGTACGTTAGTAGGTCGTAAATGATTAATTCTTTTATTTATTAGTGTGGGTACATTATAATACAGTAGCGGATTATGCTATGCACGTATCAAAAGTAATCATTTCTACAAGCCTTACGCGCAGGGGCGCTACACGAAGGTATCCTCTCCCGCCCACTCCCGCTGATATTTAATTCTTTGAAGTAAATTTTATTCTTTTTTAAAAGACAACTCCCGCACTAGTTACACAAACCTGCATCGCGGGTAACTTTACAAACATAGATTATAGGACAACAATTTGTGAATCAGACAAGTAATGTCCTATGTGGGGATCGAACCCACAACCCTTAGCACAGTAGGCAGCGGCAAGGTGACTGCCTAAACCACTACGCCATCCGTGCAGTCAGTTATTAAGACGGTTATGGATTCAGGCACTTCCATAGCACGGCATAGGCAAATTGTTGGTCAACAAACCACATTCCTTCTTGCCACTTATTTGTCACTGTGAAGAACCTGTTCCACGCACGGCTGGTTTTACTAGCGTTACTGCTGCCCCTGCAGAAAGCCTCTGAAGGTTGTATCACGGAGAGCGTTCCGAGGAAAGATCCAAAATGACTTATTTGAGGACAAATAATTGTTTTGCATAATCAAAGCATATCAATGGCAATCAAGCTTAAAAGCTCTCCATGCAATTGGAACTATCAGCGCCTCCGGCCTGGAAATATCAGCGCACTGGAGTATGAGCTCTTTTAATAATAAAGGAAATCAGAAATGAATAAGAGAGTAAGATACAATAATATATTTGAATGATTACATTTATGTGAAAAAATCAGTTAAGAGTATCTGTATTTATCGTTCAGGCATTTAAGTAATATACATGTATTCTTCCTATTTAAAAATAAATAAATAATATTTAATTAATGACAATAATTGCTGTTGTGTTCTACTGTGTGAAATTCTAAATGATTTACAAATCACTCTAATAATTGCGATCACAGTCGTTAATATTATTTTCATTGGGTTCCTCCATCTGGCACTGCAAATAAGATGGCAGACGACCTTGTCTTTCTCCCTTGATCTTGTGAATTTTCCATCTGTGTCCTTGTAATATTTTCCTGCAATGTATTAGTACAGTACAGCAAATTTATGGAAGAGTTTTCGCCCGCGGTAAGTGCCTTTTACCGTTTTTGTGGCATACCTCCCGAATAAACCCCAAATTGGTTCATCTTTGACGGAGTTCTCACGTAAGAAATAAAAAAAAAACAATCAAATTGACTCCTGCGTTATTTTTTAAGTCTATGAAAACAAACAAATATAAGTTTGTCGTGTCATCTCGGTTCGACAGCACCTGCCTCACTGCCTCAACCAGTATCAGAATCCTAGGCATCGACATTTCGAGCGACAAGTCCAGTTTCGAGGTCATTTAGAGGGTAAGGTGAAATTACCCTCGAAGAAGTTTGGTGTGCTGAACAGTCGATGCAGTATTTCACTCCGGCCCACCACCTTCAACTATATAAGGCGCAAGTTCAGCCGCATATGGAATACTGTTCTCATCTCTATGCAAGGGCAGCCCATTACCAGCTTCTCCCTCTGGACCGCATCCAACGGAGAGCTACTCGAATCGTCGATAGCCAAAAGATCTTGGTCTCATACAACCAATCTGTCGAATAAATTATCGTCTTTTTTTTTTTTTTTTTAATGGGACTAATCCCGCCCACATGCCCACCACTGTAACTCCTGTACACCAGGATCCACAGCAGTGACCCACAAACACACCGAGTTATGACACTCGGGAAGTCCCAGGAAGAAATTAAACTGTCTTGGAACCCGCAACGAAATTAATCAGAAGAAAATTGGAGGAGTTGGAAACATAGTAAATCCACTTCCCTCCTTAGCAAAGCGGGAGACAAAATGAAATAAAATGGGCATACACCCTTTTAAACAGGGAAGCACCACGGCCACGAAATATTACGGGTCCTACGTGAGCTATATTTGATTTCTATAATATGTATGACAGAATCGCCTAAACGCACGGAAATTCACCCTAGTTGACACAAGATCCCCATAGTATACCGCCCCAGATGTCACCTGCAAGGTATTCAGCATTATATTACGTTCATTACACCAAAGACTACATTCCCAGAGGATATGATGAGCAGACTGTTCATAGTGAGAGTTAGGTGTTGAGCATTGACACAATGGTGACTCGACTAATTTAAATGAATAAAGCTTGCTCTTAAAGTTACCATGACCCGTAAGAAATTGAGCGACACAGTGATCCACCTCAAGCCATGTCCTCGACAACCGTTCGCGAACAGATGGAAAGAATTGGTAAAGATGGCGCCCCTTGGATGATTCATCCCAGCGTTGTTGCCATTCGTCTATGAGGTCATTATAGACATCGGACTGCTGTTGAAGCAATCTTGTAATTTTACCGCGATCCCGCGCGCCCAAAAAATCGCATTCCATGTTTTGTTGTCTTGAATAGTACATGGCTGCACGTCTCTGCACTTCGAGATCGACCGGAAGCACACCCGCCAACACCGGCAAAGCCTCGGTGCTAACCGTCCTATATGCCTTGCACAAGAATATCAGTGCAAGTCGTTGGCCTTGTAACAGTTTGCGACGGACAGCGCCTACGGTCGCCCTATCGGCCCATACAGGTGCACCATAGCACATAGAACCTAAATAAGTAGCTCCGTATATGATCTTTAATGTATTAAATGATAGACCCCATGTCGCAGTTGATATCCTTGTCAATGCACAGAAACTCTTTTTAGACTTTTCATTAACTATTTTAATATGTTCGATAAATGAAAAGTTTCTTTCTAAAACTAATCCTAGGTAACACACTGAGGCCTTATTTTTTACAGTTTTAAATTATCGTCTGCGGTATTTCCGATCCGATACGACCTTCAAACCACCAAGAAAAGAGCGTACTCCCTCGTTAAAGGCCGGCAACGCGCTTGTGACTCCTGACTTGCAGGCGTTCATGGGCGGCGGTAGTCATTTTCCAGCAGGTGACCCGTCTGCTCGTTTGCCCCCTGAACCATGAAAAAAACAGTTTGTTAAAGAAAGTTTTAAAATAAAGATGATTACTTACTTAGTATTAAATTTCTTATAACAAACATCACATTCAACTGTGCCTTGTCTCAGATGTATATCTTTTATGTGCCTTTTCATGTCGTGTTGATATGAGAATGCCTTGTCACAGTAATTACACTATAAATAAGAATAACCATTTATTACATTCTTTTATGCAATGAAATTAGAAATAGGATGGCGCTTTACTGGCAAGAATAAAATCAATGTATAAAAAGTTAATAACGATTATCCCATTATGGATTGATCCCCTTAACGTAACCCTTTTTTTTTGTAACCAAATAACATATTAAAAATCTTATGTAAAGCAATAACTTGGGTTAAAAACATCTACCATAAGGATATCAATACATAAAAGATTACAAATTTACCTTAAATGGTCTATTAGTACTGTGGACATGCCGCATGTGTTTAGCCAGATTGCTTGAAGTCGTCGTCGCTTTCGGACACTGTGTGCATTTGAACGGCTTGTCAACCATATGAGATCTTTTGTGTACCTTCAAGAGATCCATTGTTCTGCCCTGGTATGGACACTGGTCGCATTTAAAAGGAAATATATTCTCATGGATACCCCTGTAAACGGTTATTAAAAATAGTTACGTTAAATTCTCTATACGCCATTCTCTATTACAGAAAGTAATATTATGTACATTAAACCTAGGTAAGTATTTTATATGTAAACCTATACACCCTGCGCTGCGATTATCTATTTTTTTCTAGGTGTACCTTATTTGGCAGGTGAGGTAATTAAGGATCAATCTTGTCTGGCCTGTTCGTTTAGTATTTAGTGCTACACGATTTCCAACTAGGACAAATATTTGTGTGACGAGCACAATCATTTGTTCTGTCTCTTTTTTATGGTATAAGGATAAGGAGGCAAACGAGCACACGGGTTACCTGACGGTAAGTGGCTAGCGTCGTGCACGGACATCTGTAACTCAAGAATCGCAAGCGCGTTACAACCTTTGGAGGCCCCTCCCCCCAGAATCAAGGGGAGAAGGGGTTAAGACTACGGTAACCTCACTTACTCGGTGATGTGTGTATATGTAGTATCACTCCGATCAAGCTATACCATTTGTGCCGAAACATAGCTCTCCGTCGTAACACGCTTCGGAGTAATTTATGTATAAGTAAGTAAGTATGTATTTAGAAATATAAACCTCCTTTCTCAGGAGAGGCTTATGTCCAGCAGTGGACTATTAAAGGCTGTTGATGATGGTTGATGATTTAGAAATATATAAGTATGTTTATTAGCAGTATGTTTACCATGGTACATAGACGGCCGTGTGGCCGCGTGATGTGTCAAATTACCTGCATTTTTACATTACATTATTAAATGTATTAATATTCTCCCGTACGTGTCTACCTGACAGAGAATGTCAATCTTCTACAGTTCCCTAGAATGGAATCCTGGTGAACAAGCCCTCTGGAGAGTTTGAAAGGATTTCAGCCTTCTTTGTTGTAACTTTGAACTGTATTTAATACTTCGGGGAAATCAGCAGTGACAATGTTCGAACGGAGATCTCCCTATCTTAAGTTCGATGTTCGATGCTTGATTACTCCTTGCTATATCTAGATGCTACTAGGTTTAAAATAAGAACGTACATATGAACTAAAAGGCTTGCATTGGAACATGCTGTTTTGCCACATATGTCACATAAAAACTTTTTCTTTGTTTCTTCAGGGGGTTTTGGCACTTCCGGTGTTTGTGTACTACACTTGATTAAATGGCTGTTGTACGATGGCTGAAAACAAAATTAGTTATTAAGTCACTCAACAAATAGAATGTATGACTAAAAAGAAAGTTTGTTGTTTTCAATTTTGTTTAGTTTATCATAAACAAAAGTTAAAATAAAGAGTAATTTATGTAGTTTAAGATGTTTGTTTGATACGATTTTAGCCTTATCTACTCAATCAATTGTTGCAAATGTCATGTAACATAAAAAAAGTGAATGCAACAATATGCATTTCATCCAGAAACATGTACTGTTGGTGATTAATGGAAAAGTAAGTCTCAACATCTAAAAGCAAATGAAACTGTTCTTCATAAGGTTTTCTACTGTTCGTAAAATCAATATTGTCTATAATTTTCAGTCATATTTATGTATACATGTTTAGGTTACCAACCTACATTCATAATTTTCTACTAACCATATCATGGAACTCCTTGCTGCAAGATGAACAACTCCACAACGCCGAGTTGTCATCAGAAAATGCCGGTGATGGAATGTTAAATGAGTCTTCACTGTCTCCCTTTATTTCACTGTTCTCTTCATACTTTTGATAATCTATGTTATACTCTACAAAAACAACTATTAATACATATACCATTGTATATTTACTAATTACTCTATGCTCCTGGCACAGGCTGGGAAGAGGTGCAATCCTCTTAAGATAGTACAAAATTATTCAACAGAAAGTGACTACAATCATATGCAGCATGCACTGCACACATATGCACATGCATATTCCTAAGAAAGCAGTAACTAGTAGGATCTTATGCGAAACCAGTAAGTCCCTAAGAAAAATTGGACTATAGAAGATTGCAGATATACTTATGTACTGTTATGATTATGCACTGACTATTAGACTGTTAAGTATAACTAGAACACCTACTATATAGTGAAAATATAATTTTACTGTTTTTGTTCTTCCTTCTCTCTATGTTAGGTTTATGAGATTTCTCAATAGATACATGATTTTGGAGGTTTTTTAGGCTGTGGTATCTATAAAAGAATTCATTTCAATTTTCTACATAGTAGTGATATTACCATATACACTGTTTGTACTGCATCGATTGTAGGCGTGATGATTTAATTCTACTAAAAAAAATTAAATTGGAAATGTGAGAACACAAAATAGTAACACATTATTCTTTTGGTGCCAGGCAGTTCTGAATAATCTAGTATCATGCTCGCCTTTAGGACATGTTTGTGGTGGTGTATGTCTTGGATTGTTTGGTTTCCTTTAATGTGAACTATCATCATGGTTGTGAATCTGAAGTACTGGATGGACACATCATGTTGTGACTCTAAGGTACTGGTTTCTCTCTCTGTGGATTTCTTTTATTTATAAAATTTTAACTAATTCTAGGACGGTTTGTATTTAAATGTTATCTTACATTATCCTCACATACCTTACATTTGTAAAAAGTATTGTCGATGAGCGTTCTTGGAGTTTCTTCTTAACATCTACTTATTGGAACCAGCCATTACCTTTACAACTAACTTATTCTGACCAGTTGGTTAGATAAGAGATCAGGAGTAGGAATACCTACCCCTCACAATTTAAAACTATTTTGATTTACAGCTAGAGTGACTGTAAGCTTGCTCCATAGTTTGCCACATTGTGATAAAAAAGAATAAGTACCTTGCTTTATAGATAGCTCAATCATCTTCTTATTTGTTTGCTGACACATTTCTCTGAACATAATACATCCATTCAATAGATTCAAGCAGTTTTGACACATGTGTTTTGATAAATTATCAGATTTGCTTAACTGAAATGATCACATCACATTAAAAATGATGACTTTATCATACAATTTATGTTAGGGCTTCTATTATGCACCTCTAGTTGCCTAGGATCATTACAGAATATTACTTTTAGAAGCTATAAAAAAGCTCTTAGCTTACAAAAGATAGTTTAGCTTAGCTAGAGAGAAATGTTTTATTAAATTAACATTATCATATTATATAAATAAAAAATATGATGTTATTAATATTAATGGAAGTCTTTGAGATTTCCATTAATATTAATAACATCGTAATTTTTTACAGTGTAATTAAATAAAAAATAAAATAAAAAATTTGTTTTTTTTTTATTATTTAACATTAAAACTCAGAGTTCCAGCATTGAAAATACAAGAGAAATATAAATTAAGTAAATAACTTATAGCAAGCTTTTGCCTGAGCATGGTACATATGTTATCTGGATAAATTCTGTTTACTACCGACTAAACTACGGGTTAAGCCTGCCTTTGCCACTATCTTCTTATGTATACTTTGTGTACAAAAATAAATACTGAGACAGGTCATGTTCCATAGCCTGTCCAAAATGAATGGCCATCCAATATCATTTTTTTTGAGATATATATCAGTTAAATTTAATATTAACACTTAAACAAAGACACAAAATGTTGAGCTTTATGATAGTAGTACAGTAAAGATCAAGTTCCACTCAGTAAAAATAATTCCTTTACTACATTTATAGAGTTAACTGATATGATAAGCTGTTAATGGTTAATATATAATATATTTATAAATAAAATAATATTAATATGTCCGTGTAGTGACGGATTAAGAATACAGAATGTTACTACCCCAATTCATCCCGTGGGTGTCATAAGAGCCGACTAAGGGTGAAAAACAATGCAGGACACCATCACTGCAAAATGAAGGAAAACTTGACACAAACCCTATACTAACACGTCTGGCCAGCGTGGTATAGTAGGCCAAAACCACCTTTCTAAGGAGAGACCTATGTCCAGCAGTGGACTGATAAAGGCTGATGATGATGAATAATAAAATCGCAACTTACTATAACTCCCGAAAAATTTTGTATTTCTTCAGGAATATTTGGTTGTACAAAATTCGTAAATATAGGAATGTCTCCTCTTTCCTGATTACAAATTCTACACATGCTCAAGTTGATTTTCTTGATTTGATGACTGAAACATACAGCAATATCGTAAGGGCCGTAGCCTATACTTCACACAGGTTATATTTGTGTTTTGAGTAACACTTATTCGTGTTAACCTTTGGTTGAAACGGAAAAATAAGAATTCAGTATAAAAATTATAAACATACATACATTTTCTTAATTTTCCTTTTCTTCTTCTTCTTAGTCTTTTGGAGAGCATTAGCAAACAACATAGACTTTAGTAATAATAGGGAAGTCATTCTTAATTAATGTTTTGTATTTCAAAATAAATAAGCTTTTCACACGCTTGATCGCTTTTCGCTATACAAACACAATATTGTTGTTTATTTAGCAATTGAATTATAGTAGTAGTTCCCTAACTTGAACACTAGCAGCAGTAGATTTTAATAATATTTTTAAAAGTTACGAGTGCTTAAGAAATTTCACACAACTAATTTTTATCTTTAGAGACATGAATTTCATATATTTAAACAGATATATTTATTAAATGAAGGGAATAATGAAAATATAGTAAGTACTAAAATGTTCAAAATCCTTCCCTCCTACTGTACTCAGACGTCAGCGATGCCGTTTAAAAATTGTGAAACTATTGACAGTTGACAGTGACAGAACTCCGAAGTCCGAAACTTAAAAGTAGCCCGACACAGGTCAAAATGGTGTGCTTCGAAATTAAGTACGAAAACAAGAATACATAAGTATTACCACTTTCTTAAAACCACGATTATCACATTACTAATGATAAATAATGTATATTTTAAATACTGAAACAACAATATATTCTGGTCTTGGTCTGGTGATAGTTAGATCAGTCTTCGATAGTTATATAGGTTATCTAAAACTATCATTTAGTAATTTACTCATAATGAAAACTAAAAACAAAGATTTTTAAGTTAAGTAATCTATAGATCTACAAAAATGTCATGGTACGAAAAAAAGAAATTTGTATTTAATTTCATATGGTAATGCCAACTACCACCTACTATATTTTAAGCTGATTTGAAGAAAGGATCGCTCTTGGAACTTAGTGATTTCTTTTAGCTTAGCCACTTAGAACTAGAATAAATATTGAACTATGTGTAACGTTTTAAAAGCCTGGCACATGTGTAAAAAAATTGTAACGAAGCGATGTTGGGTCAGTCGAGTTTAAAATACAAGAGTAAAGAAGTAAAGAGAATAGCGTAGTAGTAGCGTGTTAATTATTTTTAACGAGTTTTATCTATTTTGTGTTTCTATGGATTTATTAATCTGATCACGAACTCCAGCTCGTAACAACATTAACTTTAATTACTAAAATTAATCTCAATCTAAGGATTATTATTTTCTATTGTACAGAATAAGAATCATTAGATAAAAAAAAAACATTGGATTCGTTTTCTTTCGTTCCTTTTTTCGTATTTGCCCCACCGCTTTTAAGTCAATTTTCACTGTACGAGTGGGCTCGGACCGAATGCTCTAGGATGATTATTCGGATGCTAATTGCATCATGTAAACACATCATCCGAGTGTTCTCGGGCGTCAGATACTGATTAGAGTAGACTCGAATGATGTGTTCTGATCGGATGATGATGACTCGGTTCTAGTTTTTTGAGTGCAATCGGATGATTTGAAATAAGAAGTGGAGTGAACGTGACACTATGAGGTTTGTGGAGCTTTATCAAGAGGAGAAAGTGTGGTGGAATGTGGGGATAAATGAATATAATGGTCCATCAACATCGCCGCTGTCCGTGAGACATATTTCCATCGGTTTCTTGGGGTTGTCAGGGAGACCGACTTGGATGGCTCGGTGGCACTGGTGGATGGCACCGCCGCCAGCACACCTCCTCTGCTGTGGTTGCAAAGGGACGGATATAGCAGAGGCGTTACCTCGTGGCGGCCATCGGAGTGGGAATTCTCTCGCTTAGTACCATGATTGCGGCCATGCTCGGGAACGGGCCAGGTACCGCAGGAGACTCAGGCGCAAAACGACAGGTGAGGCCATCTGTCACCGTCCTTTAGGTTCTAGAAGGGGAACACCGTGGTTCCCACACACGAGTCACGAGGGGGTCATCTACAAGCCGTAGATGGTTCTAGGGATTTCTTTCCTAGGGTACACCTGGAACCCCGGCTACTGGTACCCGAGACGGCCTGTGGTTTTTGGTCGCTTCATGTCCAACATAACCACCGGTGGGTGGTATCCCTATGGGATTTCCCCACAGACAAAAAAAAAAGGATTAATGAATATAAAACAAAGACGCCCGAAATGCTGCAATACAACTTATAATACCAAGACGTGAAAAACAAATTCAATAATATCCAGAATACGTACTAGCAAGAACTATTGAAAATTAAAATTAAATCAACAGGGTCGTTTATCACAAATAAAAAATCGATCTATCGTGTGCACTAAAAAAAGGAGCGTTTTATTAAACTTTTATGGCTAATAAAGGCTAAATAATAAATAATATTAGTAGTTTATTTGCTGTAGTTTTATAATAATGTTTTACTTGTAAAAGAAAACATATGTACTTAGTTCAGTTTTTTTTTATATTCTACTTCATTTCCATGAGAAGGCACATTCTCTCATGAGGTAGTGTTTGAAACCAGTTCTTTGTTCTTTACTGACCAAAAATAATGATTTTTAGCCTAGTTCATAAGATCAGCTATATGATTGGATCTTGATTCTTGTCTCTATGTACCAGGTCTTCTAAGCTCTCCTGTAAGTGCGTCGTAACGCAAGGCTGTCTTAATCAACCAGTTTTGTAGAACGCAAATTGACTTTACTATTTTTTAGACTATCTGCTATTATTTCTAGTAGAAAATCGTCTTCATCGGACATTTTGAAAATGGAGGTAGTGCTATTGCACTTTATTAAAAACGAGCTAAAATCATACTCGGACTCTATTCAACTCGTAATGTGTATACTACAATCTTATACGCATGTATAAGTGCACGTGCAAAATGCACTCTTATACGAGCATTTTAGCAGGCTTGTACGAGCGCACTCGGTCCGAGCCTACTCGTAATGTGAAAACGTGTCTTCACCATGCCTGGCAACACTGATTCAATTCAATGACAATTTGACAGTAATGCAAAACTTGTTTACGAATTCATGCATCTAGTTTATTTGTTACTGAAAGTTAAAAAGTTATGAAAGGGATTATTTATATTAAATGATTTGTGATTCAAATCATTTGAAACATGGCAGTATATTTAAGTAAAAAAATGCTATCGAGGATGACTTATGTACATTATCCCTCTACCTCTTCTGCAGACGAGGCTTTTTCTAGTGGTGATCATTGGCATAAGCTCATGATGGATAGCAGGTATTTTTAGTAATATGATTGAAACAAGTTACCTTTTAAAAAAAATATCTAGCAACTTGTACATGAAGTTATTTATACTTTGCCAATTACATTTAAAGTCTGTCATGTTTTTTTAGCAAGAAAACGCTACAACTGGCGAAAGATATGCTATGCAGAGTTTGTGCCAGGCATGCGTGTACGCCTCTTACTGATGAAATAGACGGACACAATATAATGAGTGTTATGAGGAGTATTACTAACATCACTGTAAGTTTTTTTGTATCCATTTATTGTGGCTAAGCTGGAGTATTTATTTATGTCTAAGCACAATTTTGTTTTTTTAAGAATAGCTTTTAAATTTGACAAATACCTCTAAATTTAATATATTGCAGATAGAACTGGATGATTCCCTACCTAAATTTATTTGTTCCAACTGCCTTGAGTCACTGAGGCTTGCACTTAATTTTAAAAGGACTTGTGAAGCCTCAGACAAAAAATTCAGGAAAATACTGAACCCAACAGGTAATTTATTTATATATTTTTTTTAATAACGCTCCTGAAGCTAATATCTTAGAATATATTATTACAATTTTATTAATAAACTAGCTGGACTTCGTTCGTGTGGAATTTGAAAAGCGCTACCTTAGTAGTTTGATTTTGGGATCAGGCAAAATTTTATAGGGTTTTTCTGAGCGGAAAAATAGCCTATGTTACTCCCTATATACACTGCGACAGTAAAATATTATCAAAATCATTCAAGCCGTTTTGAAGATTACCTGGAACAAACAATTTTATTTATTTGTATAGAAAATTTAAAAATCTAGACTTATTTACTTACATGAACCATAAATACCTGTAAAGTTTTATTTTTCTAGGTATTTCAACTCCATCATATCCCTATTCTAAACATGACTTTCAACTCATCTTACATCAAATGAAGGAAAGAAGACTTAAACAAGAGGAACAAAAAGTCAGAGAACAAATAAAAATAGAAAAATTAAAACAAAAAAAAACACCTAAACTTAAACAGTTTACGTGTTCTCCCTGTGATTTAACCTTTCCTAATAAGGTAATGGTGAATACTTTTATTTTCCTTGGTGTGTGATGCAATCTTTAACTATTGAGGAGTTTTAAACATTCATTATAAACAGTCCACTTTATCAAGCAGCTTCCCTCTTATCTAAGTAAGGCAGGAGAAAAGTGATTGTTCTGTTATCTCTGATTGATTCGTCTGTGGTCTGGCACTCCCTTTTATATTCTTAGTAAACATCAATTTCTTACAAAATAACAGAGAGGTTTGCATGCATCCATACATTCAACAGAAGCAGTGTGACCTACATTGAACCATATACAACCAACCATACAAGTAGTTGTAAAGTAAATATTTGGACCATATAAATCAATTTGCACCTAAGTTATAGCTTGCTAGCTTAGGTACCATAATTACTAATTTTATTCATGAGATACTACATTTTGGTGCAGGTTTGCATCACTTTTTTTGTTAGTATTGACTATTAGACTGCATAAACTTGTATTAAGAGGTTGTACCAAGAGGTGCTTGACTAATAATATTTTTCTTGATTGATTAGGAAAAATTGGTGGCCCATCGTCGTGAACGTCAATGTATGCGGCGTGCTTGCGATATATGCGGGCAGCTTGTCCTGAGCATCGTCCAACATATGCGACACATACACAAGAAGAGCGTGCCACACAAATGCAATACCTGTGGCAAAGAGTTCCCCATCATTGCCAGGTTAAAAAATCATATGTATGTATATTTATTACTAAAAAAAATGTCAGTTCTGTAATTTTCAAATAAAAAATTCCACTATTTTTTTTCTATGCAGGCTGGTCCATACAAACACATTCAACTTCTTCTGTGATTTGTGTCCATACAAATGTAAACACAAGTATTACTTAGTGATGCACATGCGCACCCACACTGGTGAGAAGCCTTATAAATGTCAACAGTGCCCTGCTACCTTTGTGAATCCATCCAATTTAAATAAACACAAACTGACTCACCAGGCTAAACAATTTAAGGTAAGAAAAGACAATATCCGCCCAGTGTTTAAAGTTCGTACAAGTCAAATAAAAATGAGTAATACTTATTTCCCAGAAAAGTAAGTTTGAGATTACAATTAAACACACATAATATATATTTTATGCCAATGCATACCTCTACCACATACAAATTTGCATGGAATGAATGATACAATTGACTGCACGGATGGCGTAGTGGTTATAGTGGTCACCTCACCACTTTCTACTGAGCCGAGTGCTGTGGGTTTGATCTCAACACTTTGTCTCATCAAATTGTTGTTGTGAGTCTGGATGTTCTTTGTGTCAGTTTCGTGTATGTTTATAATGTCCCTGCAACACAGGATATATTATTTCTAGTGCGGGAGATCTCTTTAAAAATGATAAAAACTGTTATGTTTTTACTTTTAAAAGTTGCCCAAACTCAAACATATACAATATTAACCTTTGGCCTGAACGAAGCCATACACACTATACATAAGTGTAGTGTGTTTTGCCTTTGATAATTTAGATAATAAAAGAGGTTGTTTCGTTTATAAAATTTTATTAAATTTATTTTTCTTCCTTTTCCTTAGTGTACGTTATGTGAGAAAGCGTTCCGAACTAACACAGCGCTGAGGGAGCACCACGAAGCGACGCATATGAACATCAAGCACACCTGTAATTATTGTGGACGTGATTTTTGTTACAAGTAAGAATTACTTTTACTACAAAGATTACAGTGTAATTCTTTTTTTTTTCTTCGCAAATTTCAAAAAATTTAGAAGCTATTTTGAATTCATATTTACATCTGTTCAACATCATTATTGCTCATCAGTATTATTATGAGCAGTAGTGACATTAAATTACTTATTCTGCCTATTTTGTATATCAGATCGGACCTTCGAAAACACGAAATCCGTAGTCACAATCGCATGAAGCGTGACTACATTGGTGGCGAACCTACGTACAAACAAGTGGAACGACTTCAAAAAATTCAAGAAAACGAGATGGAGAAATGGCGGGCTCAAGAGATGACGATAACTCAAGCCGTGCCTGTGGTACAACCAACGTATATAGACCCACCTAAGGCCGAGTTCATAAATCATGCTCTTTACTTTTCTGATGTAACTGGCATGTTGCAACAGCAACCGGCCCAAATGAGTAAGTATTTTAGTAATATTGTATACCACACTGTGTAAGTGAGTGGATGTTTAAGAAATAGTATGTGTTATATGAGTATAGTTAGTTATATGTTATAGTTTGTTGTATGAGTAAGTTGTGTTCATATATATTATGAGATGCAGAACTTTTTGTCTTTATTACTTACATTTTCATTCTACTTAACACTGCAACAGAACCACAACTTAATTTTATCAACACACAAACCAACAGGTTTGTAGTGTTGATAAAATGATTTAGAAAATTTATTGAACACCATAAACATCTTCATATAACAGGAATATATTTTGTGCCGCTTGTGGCTATAAAACACTCATATCAATCACTTATTCGCATCAGAGCTATGCTACTTCTATAGAAATGTAGAATAAAATTAGCATTTTCTAAACTTACTTTATCTGATAATCGCAATTGTATTTATTTATAAGCAGTTCCTCTGTTCCACCCCAATGTTCATAAAAAATTAATACAAAAGATAAAAAGTCCACTTAATTATATTCCAACATTCATTGTCTTTTTTTCAGTTCAACAACAGACCGTGGAGTTGACACTGTGAGTACACTTTACCGCATTGCTTTACATTTCAACAATGTTTGAAACTTAGCATTTTTTCATTATTCTTATTTTTCTAGGCCCGAGTTGACGTTGAAGAAAGATGAAGTGAAGTTGTATGAAACGCAACAAGGAATGGCCTATTTCTAAAGGTGATATATATTATATCACGTAAATCTCCTTATAAAAATAAATACCTGTATAATCATTTTATAAGTTGGCTTTTGTATTCTCTATGATTTAGTCCGCAAACAAATGTTATATTTTAATGTAAGATACCTATGTATAGTGTAATGTTGCTTAATAAAAGTTATTATTAAACTCGAGTATTTTTTGTTCTAGGTATTTATTAAAATATATTAGAAATTATGAAACGCTTTAGTTTATTTTAAAAGATATTGTAAAGTTATATGAACTCATTACGGACAGCTCAAATTTAATTTGCCTGACTTAAGAAGGCATTTTCTTTCAGAAAAACAATTTTAGTAGGGACTCCAGATCTTCAAAGGAAGGTTTGCAACCCATAATTTAGCTATGCACCAGTAACATGAGTTCTATATGTTCTTCACAAATAAAATCTATATATATAAAAGAAAGTCGTGTTAGTTACACTATTTATAACTCAAAAACGGCTTTACCGATATGGCTGAAAATTGGTGAGGAGGTAGCTTAGAGTCAGGAGACGGACATAGGATACTATTTATTCCGTATTTTTTTTTTTTGTATCGGCGTCGATCACCAGATGACAACGGTGGAACTGTCACAACAAAAGTGAAAAGAACGGATTTCGTTGTCGACAACAGTTGGATTGTTCCATATTCGCCACTTATTTCTAAAACGTTCAAGACACATTGCAACGTTGCGTATTGCAATTCAGTAAAGTCCATAAAATATATTTGCAAATATGTCACGAAAGGCAGCGATATGGCGGTTTTTGGATTGCAATCCTCAAATACCAACGATGAAATTTCACGCTATCAAGTTGGTCGTTATGTAAACTGTAATGAAGCGATTTGGCGTATATTCGCATTCCCTATTCACGAACGTCATCCTACTGTTGTGTATTTGGCGGTGCATCTGGAGAATGGTCAACGAGTATATTTCACGGCTTCGAATGCTATGCAACGTGCTGAAACACCTCCAGCAACTACATTGACCAGTTTCTTTGCGATCTGCCAAAGCGATCTGTTTGCACGAACTTTGCTTTACTCGGAGATGCCACGTTATTATACTTGGAATGCTTCATCGAAGAATTTTCAAAGACGGAAGCAAGGCGATGCGGTTCCTGGGTATCCGGATGTGCGTTCTACTGATGCTCTTTTTCGTATATATACAGTTCATCCAAAGAATGATGAATGTTTCTATTTGCGGTTGTTGCTGGTAAATGTGCGTGGGCCAACGTCGTTTGAGACACTACGGACTGTTAATGGTGTAATATTCCCAACATATCGTGCTGCATGTGAAGAACTGAACTTATTAGAAAACGATAACCAATGGGATACGACAATCGCTGAAGCCATTATCTCTGCATCTCCAAGTCAGATACGCACATTATTCGCTATCATAATTTCGACATGCTTTCCATCAAACCCATGTAACCTGTGGCACAAATATGAGGATAATATGTCAGAAGATATTTTACATCAAATTCGTATGACTTCCAGAAATCACGATGTTGAGATGAATGAGGAGATACATAATCGTGCTTTACTCTTGATCGAAGATATGTGTTACCTCATGTGCGGTAGTTTATTAATCAGGTTAGGAATGCCAGCGCCCAATCGTTAAAAAGAATGACGCATTTAATCGAGAATTGGAACGGGAACGTGAATATGATCACCAGGAATTAGATTTAGTAGTTCAAAAGAATGTACCCCTGTTGAATTCTCAACAAAAGGAAGTTTTTGATACTTTAATGAAGGCAATCGATGATGGAAATGGTGGTTTATATTTCCTAGATGCCCCTGTTGGAACAGGTAAGACATTCCTCATGTCAGTAGTTTTAGCCACTGTTCGTGCGAGATCCAACATAGCGGTTGCATTTGCTTCTTCTGGAATAGCAGCCACATTGTTAGAGGGATGCCGTACGGCTCATTCAGCATTAAAATTACCGTTAAATATTCAAACCATTGAAGAACCAACGTGTAATAATACGAAAAATTCAGCAATGGCCAAAGTTTTATCGGCATCGAAAATCATCATCTGGGACGAATGCACAATGGCGCATAAACGTGCATTAGAAGCACTTAACCGAACTATTGATAGATTTTCGGAATGACTCGAGATGTTTTGGAGGAGCAATGATTTTACTGTCTGGCGATTTCCGCCAAACACTGCCAGTAATTCCAAGATCTACGGCTGCCGACGAAATAAACGCTTGCCTCAAATCGTCGAATCTATGGCGCTATGTGAAGAAACTGCAGCTGACAACAAACATGAGAGTTACATGGCTTAATGATACATCTGCTGAACATTTCTCTGAGCAATGGCTGACTATCGGTAATGGTCAAGTACCTGTCGATGAATCGAGCGGATTGATATCATTTCCAAATAATTTCTGTAATTTTGTCTCATCAAAAGACGAACTTATCAACAATGTATTTCCAGACATTATTTCTAACTACAAAAATAATGAATGGTTGAGTGAGCGAGCAATTTTAGCGGCTAAGAATAAAGATGTAGACGACCTGAACTATATAATTCAAAATAAGATCATTGGAACAATGCATTCATTCAAATCTATTGTCTGCGTCACAAATGAAGATGAAGCCACCAACTATCTAATTGAATTTTTAAACTCCTTGGATGTGCCTGGCTTACCACCGCACAATTTACGCCTAAAGGTTGGCTCCGTAGTAATCATGCTTCGAAACATAAACCAACCAAAACTGTGCAACGGTACGCGTTTGGTGGTTAGAAAATTGATGAACAATGTAATTTACGCGACGATACTGAAAGGAAAATTCAAAGGTGAGGAAGTTCTCATTCCGAGGATCCCAATGATCCCAACCGATTTGCCGTTTGAATTTAAAAGACTTCAATTTCCGATCCGTCTTGCATTTGCCATGACCATCAACAAATCACAAGGCCAATCCTTAAAAGTTTGTGGTTTAAATCTAGAACATTCATGTTTTTCCCATGGTCAATTATATGTGGCATGTTCACGGACGGAAGACCATCTGCGTTGTTTGTTTTTGCGCCTGATAAGAAAACAAAAAATGTCGTGTATCATAAGGTACTTAAGTGAAGAGCAACCTATGTACTGAAATGCAGAAACAATAATAAATGATTAACGTACTTCATTTTTTTTTCTAAGAAAAAAATGAACTTACTAAATTCGAAAATCGGCTTATTTATTGCCTTTAAGGCGGAACAGAGTTCGCCTGGTCAGCTAGTATTTTATAGTTTAGAAAAACTAATGCCACTAACTTAAAAGAAGAAACTTACTTTAAAAACTTAAAATGAATTCTATTATATCCTAGCTCCGTGATCAGACCAACTTGAGTGTTTTACTAGAAGTCGCCGAAGACCTTCTGGTTCCATGATCAGATCAGTTCAAATAATCAAGTTAATGACCCAACACTGAGTTCAAGAAAGTAGACATATGAAAGTATACCTACGTATGAGAACACAAAGCTTTGTTTTGCAGTTTATGTATTAAACCTTACAGTCTTCGTGGCCCGTCATGCACTTGGTCGGTTTATATCATCCTTAGTGTGAATTTGTAATAAATTATACATCCCGCCTTTTTTTTGTTGACGGGGTGGAAAATCCCTCCGGATCTTCTGCTCCTCGAGGATTCAGGAGCCAGGAGTATGTGGTGGGGTTCAGCGGTCTCTTTCTGGAGCATTACAGAAAGCAGCTTCACAGAAAGTGACCACTACGCCCTATCCCTCACCCGCCAGCATGGCAAGTATACATTCCACCTAAGGTATTAGTCATAATAAGTTATACGTTTTGCGCGGACACTGAACCTGGTGACGGATCCGTTTTTCCTGACTATATAGATCTCTGCTAAAAGTTTCTCTAATTAAATCCGGTAAGTTTTAGAAAAGTGTGTTATTGATGTGAGACAGCTTGCAGGTAACATTCAAAGCGTGTTGTAAATATGACTAATATTGAACTGATATCTGTTTATTCCTTACGACGCAGCAACAATTCTTTCTAAATTATACTTTTTATGGAATATAAATTAATAGAAAATAAATTTATCCATATTGGTTATTATAATCAATGAACGTATCGTCATGATTAACTAGTATTAGAAACACCTGCCTTGAAAATGGTTAATAACGAAAGTTTTAAATATTGTTATTTCCAACTGCTAGAATTACTTGGAAACTCTATTAAGCCAACTAATCGTTGCAAACTAGTTGAGCGGCAACTATTTATCTCGACCTAAATATCTCGTAACTCCTCACCCTCTACGTTACCGCTACGGCGTAGCTATCTACTCTACGTGTTTGTAATTAGTTTAATTATACACACATCAAAAAAGTCTAAGCAACATATTGTACGGAACGATTTTTACTATTGTAATATATTTTTATTTCTTTTATAAATAATAACTATATAAGCGTTTTTTCATGCATTAATGAACAAATTAATTATTATACTCTTCACTAATTCTATTTTAGCACTGAGTTGAACTGCATTGTTTTTAACCGACTTCAAAAAAAGGAGGAGGTTCTCAAGTCGACTGTTTTTTTTTTTTATGTTTGTTACCTCAGAACTTTTGACTAGGTGAACCGATTTTGATGATTCTTTTTTTATTATTTTTAGCTTTGTGCTCCGCGCTCAAGGCCCTCGATAGAAGCTATGCAATAGCTTAATAATAACAACATAATAAATGAATATGCATAGGCCTTAGTCGCAATACCTAGGGCCGCGAAGACACAATACTGAGCGCCTCATAACAATCATACCAGCATAGGTCATAACGTCTTCCAACAGCAGTTAGCCTCCTGCGTAGTCTGGACCAAGTCTAGTTACGATGTTGAAATTTAGAATAGAATAGAATAGAATATATTTTATTTGCATTGATTGTAGGTACATAAAATAGTGATGTTAACAAGTTTTCTAATCCTTATACAATCTACCTGGACTAGGCATGCAAACATTAAAAATGCATCAAAAATTAACAATAAATT